GGGGGGGGGGGGTTGAAGAGCCTAATTACGTTGTCGCGCAGCCTCTTGTCAATCAATCGGTGCACTTCGCCCTGAGGGGGAGTGTTATGTGTCCAGGCTGCTACCACACCAGGCTGGCCACATCGATATCGATTGTGTGGTGAACTCTGCTCTTTCGCCTCAGTTGCACCCCCCGTACAGGAGAACATGTCTGAGTGCAATTCCTTCCTCTCATTATCTTCACCCACACTACATTCGAGTTAACCTTTCCAAAGCTAGTGTTCAGACACAATGGCTTTACCACTCTGCAAACAAACAAATTGGCCGGTATTTACACTGCTATTAAAGAAAGACACACTACATGTACACCACACCTGTTGACTAAGTTTCAGTGGAACAGCACATTATTTCCCTTCTTCCTTGAAATCGCATGGATTACCCTATCGAAGTGTATGCAATCCCGTGGAGCAGGATGGAATGAGGCTTGAGCTGGCTCGAAGTCCAGCCCACGCATACAATCAGCACACAAATGTTCAAAGTAACCGCCTGACTTTCGATAATCACATAAACAAAGTAGTACAGTACTGCTCGGCCATTCAATGTCTCTTACTAACACGATATTTAGGGTTGTGGGGATATTTATTTAATTTAAATTTGCGTTATATGGGCTTATAGGATGGTTAAAGCGGTTGGGGGTGGACCTTTGGCTCAGCCCTGTGGGTAGCCAGCCACCTATGCTGTCGCACAGGCAAAGCCATGCATTGTCATTTTTTTTTTCATTAGAGAATCCTGTTCTGCATTTACCTCAACGATTTACCGTGTCCCTAATCCTAATAAAAACCGGTGCCGTAGGAAAACACTCACCAATCAAATGGAGTTCCGCAGTTTTCTCGGTATGGCAAACAATTGCCGGCATTTTGTTGGGACATTCGACAAACCCACTGGTCCAATTTGAGAGTTAAGTAAGAAAGAAGCAATCGAGCAGGTTCGACGAGGGAACCGGACACACAGTAGTGCTTAGGTGTGGTGATTCGCGTACTCTAAGAGGCACTCATACTGGCGCCCAAGTTGCCAATCATTTTAAACAATGCCTGATAGGTGAACGAGTTGTAGTTGTCGGACCTACCATGGCTGAAGATGCTTTAGAGAAGATCTACTGTCTAGTCGCTTAATGATACGGAGATCTACAGTGGAGTTGCTCCAATGAGCAGTAGGAAAAGGGAAACGTTCATGGAAGTGCAGACTCCCTGTGCCACAGACTTCTTTTAATCGTTGATGAGCGCTCCCCGCACCCACTACTGGAAAAACTTGCGGAGTACCGAGGTGGATACCGTCCTGTTGTCCGAGAGGCGGCTAGCAGCCGCGGTTAAGCTCGGCGAACAATGCAAGCAAACAACTATGACAGAACTGGACTATTCTGTCCTTAAAGTCTGGCAGTATGCAGTAAAAGAGCAACGCTGCAAGCTGCAAACACCTCGTAGTCCGAGACTGGCTGATTTAAGCCACCTTACTAATATCACACTAGCAACTTGAACCTGTGAAAAAAAAAATGATGGTTGTGGCTACCATAGAATTTCACAAAGCATTTTTTTACGTGTGTCTGTAATGCTGTGTTTATGTGACTACCCGAAGTTTAGCGTTCACTTTAGGACATGTCTGGCAGTCGTACTTGTGGGCTGGCCTTCGGGCCATGCTCAGGTCCATTTACTCTATTTTCATCGGAATGCGTGTATCCAGCCTCACTTACTGCCTTCGTCCACGCTATGGGAAGTCTCGAGACGCTGCAGTGTCAGCTTCTGGAGTCACCACCACACTGTGCTATCAACCCTTCAACCCATGTTATATCATCACTGCCTAGCTCCACCAAACCAGAGAGAAAATCACTACGCTTTGTTTAAGTAAGTCACAAAGGTAGCAAAGGCGACTTCTTTGAAATGAAAGGATGCTGAGACAGTGGTAACAGGGTTCTTCAACCTCCTTTTCTTCCAACACAGCGTAAGTGAATTGCTCCAAGGCGATCAAAGCCTCAATTATGAAAACCAGCCTCTTACAGAACATACAAGGCTGGAACGCCAATGGAATAAAGGTAATGCGGAAGGGACAAATCGTACACTTTTCAAACTCTTGAAGGTCTTAATTAAAGATTCCAACCTGAAGGTTGGGAACTTCATTTAGGACGAGTTGCCCTCGCGTTCAAGCGAGAATTCGCGCCTCCAATGGAGTTTAGTCTTCGCAGCAAGGGCACGATGGTGGATCACGTTCCTGTGCATGTCTTGCAAGTGAAGAAGGGCCTGTATTATGGGTTTAACACCGCACAAAAACAGCTGCATAAAGCCTACATTCGGTAGAAAAGGTTCTACGACAGAGAGAACAAAACCTACATCTACAAGGAAGGAAATGTTGTCCAGGTATACCAACCGATTCCTACACCAAGGACTCACTAGGTCTACCACCCCAAATGCGAATTCCCCCACCATGGAGTTAGAAAAGCAGAGCTCCGAACTTAAAAATTCACCATAAGTAGATTCGCATTGCCTCAGTAGGTTATTGAGACGAGGTTCACTCGATGGTGGTGATAAGGGTGAACTCTGACAACCTAAAAGAAAGTCCAAAGGCTACCACCGAGGGCGCTACATGAGGGAGAAAGGGTGTTATGTAAAAAATTGTGTTTACTTTACATGATCATGTCGGAGGGGCGGAACGACGAACCTCAGGTACTGGCATGGACATTTCACTGCTTCAATGCACAGCAAACCATTGCAAAGTAAATTACCTTTACCTTTACCTTTTTACCCTTCAAGTAGGGTATTTAAGCAAATTCTGGAACACATTGTATGCAAGTATTTTAATTTTAGTATTTTACAGTTAACAGATAAATTTTCCTCTTACAACAAAGTAGGCAACCAATTGTTGCGATACTTTAATGCATTTTATTTGTCGAAATAATGCCTGTGCTGTGTAACGCTGCGCCCTACTTAAAGCGCCCCGAGGTTTTCCATCAAGTAGAAGGCAACATCGCTTTGACCAGAATACATGTATTTTAGGAGGAGAAGAAAGTACTAAGCCTTAACTTGATCAGAAGGCCATCACACGCCTGCAAGAGTAGGGCGAACTCCAAAGTGAGCGGTCAGATATCAGACGGTCACATGAGCAGGGTACTGCACTACTCGCTTATAATGTGTATTAATGAGATTTCAAGGCATGGCGCATTCTGCGGCTACTATCCTTTATCTCAGCTCATTTGGAAGGATTTGTGATGGTGATTGTAATGCTTTGTTTATGTGACTATCTGAAGTTTGGCGGTGACTTTAGAAGTTGTCTGGGCCCTGTACACGTGGGCTGGCCTTCGGGCCACGCTCAGGCCTCCGTTTCTCCTATTGCTTTCGGAATACATGTATTCAACCGCACTTATGCCTTCTACTACCCCATTGGGAGCCTCGGGACGCTACACTGGTGGCAGCGGAAAGCGAACCCGACATCTTATTAACGACTTTTAGGTATAAGGTGCTTTTGAAAGCGACATAGTGTGTGGGACAATGTGTTGCCCAACAGACACCGCTGTCTTACTGACATCCTACGTTTGCCTTGCTAAACTGTGCCAATTAGCCGACTGATTTCCGGAAAAGAACAGTACGAACAAACCGACAAGCAACGGTTCAATCGGATGAAGCACTGATTCAATACATGCAGATACCTCAAAATCGGGTACCCTCGATCGGAAAGTCAAAACTTCTCTTTCCAAGACAAGAGGGTTATAATCCAACCAGCAGACTAGACTGCAAACGAATTCTGCTTCTTAGGAGAGAAATCCAAGATTAAGAAGCGCATTCTGGCAATTATGAGCTATACATGCGTAGAAGGCAGTCTGACTCTATCTATCGAAGTGCAGTAGATAAAGATACAGGCGAAAACGGGACGTGAATTGAAGGGGGCGCATTTACCTTGACCCTTCACAACGAAAGGATGAGACTGACGTCTGCATTTGGTTTCACCTTATTTCCCGTGTTCCACAAACAAGCTATTAACAACTGAAGCGACACCGCCGTGAAATATCTGGAAAAGTTTCGTGTCGGAATTTTCCATACAGAACCCCTATTTAGGTGTCGGAAATGACACAACGGATCACCTCGCATACGGGACGGTAGCCCGTTCCCTTATCCCTGTAACATATCTGTTGTAGACCAGAGTTCCATCGTGTATTTCTGGAAGCATTTGATGGTCGACAGATGTAGA